TGGTGGATGAAATGATAGAAAGCAGAAGGGCACTAGGCAGCTGACACTTCTAGTTGTGTTGGATGCAGCAGATACTTCGGCAGCAGTATCCCTTAAAAACAGCGAAAATTGGTGGTGTGGCCAGTAGGTCAGGTAAGTATTAAAAAAACTACATTTCTAGGCAGCATTATTTTTTATTTAACTTAGGTGGCTACATTTTAAAGCAAGCCCCCCCTCCCCCCTTTCATCTTTCTCTGGTTCCATGTGCTCTTGCCAGCTGCCCCTATCTGCACTGCAGTCCTGTTGAAATCCAAGTCTTTTAACCATACAAACCATTGCTAGAGCATAGAAGTCAACCAATCTCTCAGGCTGTAAACTAATTAAAAGATATCATCATAAATGAATAGCTTACAGCTCTACTCCTCAAAAGACATGAGTCATTTCTGGCAGCATGGCAGCCATTCATCAACTACACAAACCCATTGGACTTGGATCTTTTCCTTCTATACCTATAAACACTCCTTTGGTTGGCCACCATAGACCCCCTGGCATTAGTCAAAACTGTCTACCTAGAGAGAGAGTCCTCTGCCCCACTCCCCAGGCCCTCACCCGCCCAACCCCTAAGTTTTTAGATACATATATCATAATCTGTCTACCACACTGGTCTACCCCTCACCGCATTACCTATAACATTTATCCCACATTCTTTTTCTGTTGTTCCTTTTGACAACCAGAATCACATCCTTGCTCAAATATTGTATCTTGAACACCCTGCAGACATAGATTGTCTGTCCTTTGTGACCCACCTCCATAATGTATTGCTTGTAATACTTGCTACTAGACTGTTTGTATTTTCTTGTCTTCCTTCCTTTAAATCAATATACTTCTTTTTTTTAAATGCAGTATTTCCAGGTATTGCAATTGCATGCTCCCCCTGACCTCCCTCAATGTAGTAATTTGTGACTAAAGTAAATATGAAGCCTAAACGTTTTAATTTTGGACAGGGTAGGGGAGGGTTAAAACCAATGTATTTTTTTTTTTTTGTCATCTGTGGTATATTAAGGAGATTTCCTTTCATTTACCTTCCTGTAGACTCAACAGGGACTGAGAGGATATATTTCCAATGTGAGGGAAATCACCTCTTAGACAGTTGTCACTGAACCAAGTGTCCCAATTGAAAGATTTCCTCTCTATACATGTTCTGGTGGCAACTCCAAACCCTCACTTTTACTGACATTAACATTGGTGATCAGAATAGCATTGCACTAAACACACAGGATCCTCATTACTTTTTTCACCACAATGCAATGCATGGGAGGTAGATTGAGGTGCCATTCAAATGAATAGCAACACAGTTGCCTTTAGTTGTGCCTTATGTGGGTAGTCATCAGGTCTGAGGCCTGATATATGGCAGAGTTACCTAGCAGTATGTAAATGTAGTCTTTCAGTAAAGATGGTATTTGCATAGTATCTTTGTGATGGTTGCTGCATGAACCAATGTGGTGGGTAGGAACTCTAAAGGTAAGTTATGGCTCCAGAGGGTGTTTGCTATGTGCCATTTTGGTCAATAAGTATATTGGGAATTTAGTAGACAACTGCAGAGAACGTTTGCCAATGAACGCTGTAAATATTGAAACTGCCACAACACTGGAAACAAACTGATTATACAATCTCTGTACAATTTCCTTCAGATATACCAAAACCTGTGTTACTGTAAAGACCTACATAAACAATCTGTACAATTTATATGCAGTTAGGCAGGACCATATAAATATAAATACCTATATAAAACCTGCTGTAGCATAAAAAAATGAAAGTCTTGGTTTTATACATGTGCACACCTGTTTATGCAGCTATAGCCCTACCATAGAGGTTGCCAGCACCTTCTTTGGTATAACATAAAATTATCAAACTTTAGAAGAAAACCTTAACAGAATATTACAATAACCATCCTGAAAGATACTACAACCCATGTGAAAACTAGTGCATTTTAATGTAGATTTAGACTTCCTCACCCAAAGTAACTGCACAGAAAAATTGCAAAATCAATTAAAATCCCTCAAAATGTTAAAAAAGGAGGGATATTGAGGGCTCATTTACTAAAGGCAAATACGCTGTTTACTTTGCAAAAGGAATTTGCACTTTGCAGGGTAATTTTTCCATTAGCATAGTAAATGAAGTAAAGCTATGCTGACTTCAATCATCCAATCATGTGCAAGCAAAGATACTGTTTTTTTTTTATTTTCCTTGCTCATTATTGGGTATTCTTTACAATGTGAATTTTCATCAAATTCAATAAATTTCAATATTCAGCCTTTAGTAGACCAACCCTACCGAGTCAACTCTTGGATCTCAGTATCTTCTAAACTAAACAGCAGTTCCCTATACAACAATCTGAAGCACAAACAAGTCAAAATATACAATAATGATAACTATTAATACTATTTCTAAGTTTTTTACAGTTTATAGTTCTTTTAGGACCCTTTGAGGTTTAGAACTGTTGATTTTGTAGATTACCCCTTTGGGTCAATTTTATACTCATTTATTTTTAGATAAAAAAATAAAATATGCCTTTGCCAGCAGAACATTCTGGGACTTATATTTCAAGCAAAGTTAAAAAAGAAACATTAAAAAGTAACTTCATATAAAGTAATAGTTAAACAATTGTGTTTTCAAACTGTATTATATTAATCTACATGAATACCTCTCTGCCTGACCACTTGCTATGGTTTACATTTCCAATAGCATGAGACCATTTGAAGGCTCTCTGATGTATATATCCCTTTCAAAATTACCAAAGACCTTTGTTTGCAATTTTCATAGTTAAGGTAGTCTGTATCTAAACTATGCTCCTCATACTGAATTGTCTGTGGAGAATAATGAAAAGCAGAGGTCCGCAACCTTTAACCCACATTAAAAGAGACATTTACAGCCCAGCTAAACACTCCATCCTGACCACGTTATCTTTTTGTTAAAATAAATGGTTAAAAAAAGGCCGTAATACTTGTAGAAAATGCCACAGGTTCCCATACATGAGCATTATCTAGGCATTTGGCCAACATTCCTAAGTACTTTTAGCTGAGATCCCAGGGCCAACCACCTAGACATTTAAACATAGGACTAGTCACTGTGGCAGCCCAATGCTGAAATACAAGTATTATAAGGGCGGGGGTAAACCATTGATGTAACAATAGGGCAGAATGGTCAGGATGAGGAATTGTTTGGCTATAGGCCTTTCTTAGTAATACTCAATATTATGTCTTACTTAATTTTGTAATAGATTGTGCACAATATTCCCAATTCATAGCTTAGTTCCAGTGTCTACAGCTCTTAGTGTACTGCAAATCCAATCATCCTTTTCTTAAATGTGTTGCATTTTCTGGGTAAATGCAAAATGCATCAAGTTCTTGATTTATATGGGTTCTAAACATTTATAACATTTCTGTTAGAACTGTCAATCATCATATACCACCAAAGTAAATTTGGGAGTTTTTGTTTATCATTTATTTTTTTCATACCCGACACTCTTACTTGTTTCCCTGCAGAATGTAGATGTGTTGCTGTTCATTTTGCTGGTACTGTATGAAGACAGAATCTGGGGATACTCCATATTGCATTTATATTTTCCTGATTTGAAGTGCAACTGTGTTCTTGTTGACCTTTTTACATTTGCATTATTACACTACAAATGCCGTTTCCTCCCTTCTTTGCCCTGTCTTTTCTTCCATACATAGGCTTTCCATATGTCTCATGACAGTTAATAAAATATCTGGCAAAAACTGGCAGTTTTGGTGGAAGTGTGTTCAGTGATGGATTTTCACAAGCCATGGCCTTATTGTGTCATAACACCTGCAGGTATGGTAACATCGTTTTTCCTAATGATATCGGCACAAATAAAATCAATTCTTTAATGCTGCAGAAGTATAAACATGTTATTGCCATGCTTAAGGCTTAAAACCTACATTCAAAATTGAATATCCCAGCCTTGGGTAGATTATCAGGTGCAGCTACGCCATAACCTTGGTGGGAAAGTCTCCCTTCGCATTCTTTTCTTGTCTTGTAGCATTTGGTCCAGAATTGCAGAATTATTCATAGGAACACATGGAAAGTTCGGGCTGGGTTCAATGACCCCAGAGCTTGGTATACATTTGAATGAGTATCTAGGTGTCTAGGCTATATGTTTTGCATGGTCTTAAACTAAACAGTCAGATTTTGTTCAACAAAATGTTCCAATAAATGTCTTGTATGAGGATCTACATCAGGGGTAGCAAACCTCCGACCCTCCAGCTGTGGTGAAACTACAAATCTCATGATGCATCTCTCTTCGGGAGTCATGTCTGTGGCTGTGAGGATCTTGCAATGCCTCATGGAATTTGTAGTTCCACCACAGCTGGAGGGTCGGAGGTTTGCAACCCCTGATCTACATACTTGTTGATATTCAACTTTTTTTATATGACTTATTAAAAGCTGACTGTTTTGGTGCCTTACAGCTTAGTGGGGAAAGTAAATCATTTTAGAGATCATTTTTCTATGATTGTTTTTAATTCTGTTACCCAAGTAGCATAGTTGCAGGCATATTGTTTGGACCAGTGTGGCTTAGATATACAAATCAGCACAAAAGACACAAAGACTGAGCATGTAAGTTGTTTCTGTGATACAAGTTTAGACCTGAATGTTGTTAGTAACACATTTTAATGACACAACAATGGTCACAGGAGGACAAGATGAAACAACACATATCTGTGGCTGCAGATTTCTTTACTTGGGTTAAAATAATAAACATAAGACATCAAAATAAAAAGAAGACATCAATGAGGTTGTGAGGACCAGTGAAAGACAAAATGTCAACATGGTGAAGACAGAATTAACAGGGTTAATTGGTTTGAAAGGATACCCAGGCCATGAAAGTTTTCATGAACTAAACATTGGGAACACAGATGTACACTGGCAACACATGGAATTGGTACAGCTCCACGACATCTAGATGGTGTAAGAAATATACAGGGATCAACATCTCTCACCGTCTCTTCTGTACAGTTTTCACAGCCCCGGTATGTCCAGTTCATAGAAAACTGCTTAGTATCCATCTTATAACAGGAGTTGAAGTTGCAAGGTAGTCTTATATCGGTTCCGTTGAGAGCATAGACAACTGCAGGCACAGTGATCTCCATACTGGAAGCAGGAACTGGACACATACAATCATTAGTGGCATAAATCCATTTGCATCTGTACATGCAAGCAGTATCACATAAAACAATAAATCCTTTACAGACTCTGGAGTTTCTACAATAAAGAAATGCCTTTGCTTACTAGGCCTGAAAATACATTTGCACTCAAGTGTATCCAAAGAATGTGTTAAATGATTAATATCGTGATTTGCCAAGATATTTATCTAAATAAATAGTCAGAACATTATGAGTTGGAATTAATTACATTTTAAAGGGTTTGGCATTTCAGTTCTGTGCACATGCCATCAGGTTATTATTCCTCTTAGGGGACACAGTCAACTAGATTTACTTTTTAGTTGTGCCACCTACCCTGGTCATTATGAGAAGGGTCTTATTTTCCATGCTTGATGTTTTCCTTTAAAGAAGAAGTCTGGGCATAAATATTCCCAACCCTTGCAGTGAGGCCACCCCTGCACTGCAAGGCTTAAGAGCTCATTTTTGTCTAGGAATGAAAATAACAGAGATATACCTTAAGGAGGGGTACTTAAGTGCATCTCTAGTCATAATTTCTTTTTTTTGCTTTGGATGGAGTAGAAAAGGGTTAGGCTCTTCTGTCAATTTTGTATTACTTCCTGTGTCCCCCATTGAGGGGGTTCACCCCGCTATTTGTCCTGGGCACCATTGTGACCAAGGCAAAAAGAGAAATCTTCCAAAGGGGACACCTGTTTTGGGGAATTCCCCTCACGTTGGAAGATTTTCTCTAACTTTCTGATGTGATTGAGGAGGACAATGATAAAGCAGACGACATGTTTTGACAGCGGAGTGCAGTATGCAGGTGGCAGGGGATAGATGGGGGGGCACTTATGGAGTTGAGGAGAACACTAAGCAAAGGAACTGTTTTGACAGCAAAGTGCAGGTGGCAGGTGATGCAGGGATGTCTCTATTGAAGTAGAGGCATTGTTTATAAGAATAAAGTGCAGTGTGCAGATGGCAGTGGGCAGATCATGCGGGGGCACTTACGGAGTTGAGGGGGACACCACTAGGCTGAGGCACTGTTTTAGGAGCAAAGTGCAGGTGGCAGGAGATGGAAGATGCATGGATGACTCTAATAAAGTGAAGGCATTGTTTATAAGAATGAAGTTCAGTGTGCAGGTGGAAGGGGATAGTGCTGGATGCTCTGGCTGGTGTCCCGCCTAGTTCCTGGCAACCATTGACATCACTGGTTGCCAGCAGCTGGGTAAGACACAGGCCAGAGCGTCCCAGGTTGCTAACAGCTGGACTACTGTTAGGTTGCTATGGGCTAATGCACATTGGTGCTCCTGTGTAGGTAACACATATCCCACTGTTATACTTGTTTACATTAGATATTCTACTTTAACTCATCATTGCTCGTTAAATATATAATAGACTACAGCAGGGGTAGCAACCTCAGAATATAAGCTGTGGTAAATTTACAAATCCCATCATGCCTCTGTCTCTGGTAGTCGTGCCTGTGGTTGTCTGTCTTGCAATGCCTCATGGGACTTGTAGTTCTACAACAGCTGGAGTGCCACAGTTGTCTACCCCTGGATTAGAGCAGCACATGATATTTCAGGACCATGGACAGCATAGGACTGCAATGCCGTTTATTGTTATTCTAGTGGTGTTAGAGCACTTAAATTGGACTTCCCCTCAACATTAAAAGCCCATTCGCGTGCAGCTCTGCATGCTCAGCAGGAAACACATTACACTTATATTGCAAAATATCATTGTTTATGCCAACAGATTTTCATAATCTTCCTGTCTGCCTCTTCCCAGGCACCGGTGACAAAGTCAGTGCCTCCTGGGAAGGCTACGTCACCATTGTGTTCCAGGGATTTCTCAAAGTTAATCTGCGAGTTCTCACAAGCAATACAAATGTATGTACTATTTCCCCGAGATCTCACACGATTTTGTAAGATCTCAGGAAATAGAACATTGTTTTTTTTCTTCTTTCTGTGTAGATTTTTTTCTTTGTACCTAGAGAACTAGGAAGACAAACCCAGGAGCTAATAACATCACTTTTTATAATGGTGAGGCGTGTTTTTTGTTGCGGGCTGGACAAGGCAATAGAATTTTGAAACATAAACACTTAAACTTCACACAGCCCACATTCAAGTTCGCACAGCCCAGCAGAGACCCCACCAGGCCACCAGACACTCCACACAGCCCACCTAAGACTCCGCACAGCCCACCTAAAACTTTGCACAGCCCACCAGAGACCCCCACCAAAAAAAAGTAATTTTTTTAAGATCCACCCAGTCTCCCTACCTTATCAGAACTGGAGTAGATCCTTAGCCTGGGGCCCAGTGTGGGCTGCTGTACTGTGACGGAGCTCCATCCATATGTGCATTGCTTGTACAGCTCCCTTGCACAACCTGTAGAGGTGTCGGGAGGTGCCGCTTTTTTTTCAGAGGTGTCGGGAGCCAGTATGTTACATCACACCGGGCCAGCCACCTCTACAGGACATGAGAGGGAGTTGTAAGCAATGCACATATGGATGGAGCTCCCACGCAGCCATTGTCCTATCACATCCCACCTCAAGCTGACACTCGGCGCTGGGAGGCATATTTTGAATGGCTGCTTGGCGCAAGAACTGACAGTGCTGTGCTAGGGGAAGGCTGAGGAGCCTCTCACCTAGAAAAGTGGAAGGTACACGGGGACCCACTGAACACAGGCAAATAGTCCCACCGCACTCCTGACCGAGAAGCCCCATATAATGTGTGTGTGGGGAGGGGGGGTGCTGAAGTGGCCACGGATGTCGCTTTTTTTTCAAACCTTGGTGTGTCTGCTAGATAAAGTCTTATAATTTGAGGAAGCTGACCCCCCCCCCCCAGGGAAAAAAATTATCTACGGCCCTGCTCCTTCCATATCTTATATAGGTTACACAGGACAGGAATTGAGGATACATCTCCCCAATGAGGCCACAGAAATATGATATAAAGTGCAGAATTTGAACTCAGCTAACTCAGCTAAAACAAAAAAATCTAGCTGGATATAGGTTTTACTTGTCCCCTCCCCAGCTGTTTATATTCACCTTTCATTCTCTCCGCCAGCACTCTGTTTAGCAACAGAGAGTAAAGTAATATTGCAGATATTTCCAGTGAATCTGGGTCAGGCCTTTGCTATGATATAGTATTCTTTCATGTCAATATAATTAGACCTTCTGTAGTTATGCTGATGTTCATGAAAATGGATACAAATACCTTTTTTTGTCGTTTTTCACATCAAAGCAAAAGGCCTAGTCATTTTTATGCCTGTTTTCTCGTAATATTCCTAGGACAATATTGTTGCAGGCCAGAATTTTGTTTGTGTGTCATTTACTGAATCTAAGGGCCCGTTCACACTGCTGTCAGTTTTGCTGGGGCGGTGAAGTGCGATATGCTGTTTCAGCACATAGCACTGTTTACATTTTTTCATCAGAAATGTACACTCCGTTCAGGTCTCCACACAGTAGTGCGGCATGCTGCGGTACAGTGACCTCTGGTGCCAATCAGTGCGCTTCAAAAAAATGCAGCATGTCTGCATTATTCCGCACCAATGCAGCATTGTGGTGAAAAAAGGACATACATAAAATAACTGTTTTCTATGTGCCCTTGCAGTGGCTGCAGAAAAATGCAATATGTCTGCATAGATCACCTCACATCATCCCAGTTTTGTGGTATGAATGGGGCACATAGAAAACAATTGTTTTCATTGTGGCCCTTGCAGTAGCTGGCGTTGATGCGCTGCAGCAAACGCCAGTCAGCGCACAATGTGAATGGGCCCTGATTCTAGTTTTCCTTTGACATTTTAGCAAGGTGTTGCTGATGTCAAATTCAACATATAGTCAAGGTTAGAAAAAAACACTGTCAGATTTTAAGCAATTGTGACTTTTAAAACAGATACTTGTTCCCTGATTGATATATAGATATATATATA